GTGCTAAGCAACTGCATTGCTATGAGGCCGTTCACGTGACCAATCAACCCCACTCACGCATTAGCCACATGTATTTAACAAGCAATGCTGAGGGTTTGCCCTTATTTTGAGCACCACTGCAGTGCACGCTCAAGCAGAGAAAAACACATTCACTAAGAGGCGCCGCTTTTCGCTCAAAAAATGACAGATTCATTTCAAGAACGGCCTGTGTTGCCGATGGCAATGCGAAATTATTTTCTCGTTCTTTGTGAGTTGCATGACGGAGTAACAAGGACTTTCAAGATGAAAGGCCGCGACAGCCAAGAGTATAATGAAAGCTGCAGCGTTAGGCGCCGAGCAGGCCGAGAATGTCGCGCAAGTGAGATGAGCCACACGCGTCACAAACAAGAACTGAACTTTGCTTCAAGTGCACGAAGAACAGTCATGTGGTTCCTCGTGCTTGCGCTGTTGGCCTACGCGTACAGGAGCGTCGTATGACGGCACTACAATACCTCCCCCTAGTAAATGGGCCAACGCACGTTGTGCTTTTAATTCGCACCGGAGCTATTGTGCGTCGTCCACTTCGCGTAAACATTTTGACGAATGGTTGGGCTGGTTCAGTCTGGTCGGCTCGTAGCCTTTCTGGCTGTGGAATTCGAGACGATGCATGCACTTCACTGTTGCTGTCCACGTGCGCTGATTTTACGCGGTCAAGCGAAACCACGTCATGACAGCCACTTCTGTCGATAGTGATGTTCTTTTTTCTCATCGTTTCACAGCCTTGAACGGCCCATCATAAGGGGGCTGGAGTGGACGCTGTACAGCGTTGTGTTCACGAGCACGTGAGAACAGGAGGAGAGATCAATGTGGACGGAGGCAGAGGCCGTGGTACTGGCAGACGCAGAGGGACATAGCGCAGCTTGCTCATAATGACCTGCAGAAGCAGGCCCTGCTCGTTGTTGGCGTGGGCATTTGGGTTTTTACTGCCGGCGAAAAACTCCTCCGAAGGCGAAGTCTTGTGCCGTATACGAGTTCAGTCGAGCAGCAGCCAATGTCCGCTTTCAGAGCTGACCTAATTCCAGAGATAAACCAGAGATAGAGCCTCGAGTTAACTGTCACTTGCTGCCAGGCTAGTCTTCAATTGGCGATAAAACCTGTCCACCATACCGTTGCTGATGGGATGATTGGCCGTTGTTCGGATGCGCCGGATTCCTAGAAACCGCGTGATGTTCCCGATGATGTTGATATGTGGGGTTTAACGGTGATGTTCCCGAATAGGTCACGGTCGATGGAACTCCGAATCGTGCTACCCAGTGGCAGATGAAAGCACGCCGGCAGTGATATCTGGGACGGGGACGGCCATCGCGTGAAGCAGTCGATGAAACTTGGCAAGTAGTTCTTCCCATGACAATAAGGCAAGGGTCCCACAATGTCCAAATGCACATGAGTAAATCGAGTGTCCGGCTTGGCGAAAGATCCTAAGGGGGTCATGGCACTGCACTTATAGGAGCGCTCAGACAGGATATAGGTACTCCCAAGGCCAACGTTAGACATCCCGGTTAATTCCGGGCCATACGACCCTATATATATAGTTGTGCAGAGCCGCTGAGTGGCTCGGATTCTCGTATTTCACTGATGATATGGGTGGCGGGAGGCTGCTTACGACGTAGTTACAGAACACCTATATATACTAGACATAGTGGTATTATATAGGTCGAGTCTGACGTGATGCGTCGCGCAACAAAATGGGCTTCTACTTGAATAAACCAGTGGGGGCGTCCGCGGTCTGAAAGGGTGGCAGCTTATATACCGTCGACTGTCAGCGTAGCGTACGTTGTGAACGTTGAAGTCGCAGTCGAGGAGTCTGTCGCCGACGTCGAAGTCATAGCGACGTTCATGCTTAGCACCGGTGGCTGCACCTGAATTCCGGGTCACCAATGTCTGAACTCAATGCTAGGTCGAGCTGGATGAACAGGTCGCGCGAGCGAGATAAGCCACACGCGTCCCAAACAACAACTCAACGTTTATTTCCTTTGAAGTGCATGAAGAAAATTCACGTGGTTCCTCATGCTTGCGCTGTCGGCATGCGCGCAAGGACGCGCCGTTTGACGATGCTACAGGTATATTTCATTCGCAAAACTGCACAGATGAAAACGAAACAGCAAACACCTGTATACAGTCGGGCTAATGTAAAAGATTTTTTTTTTATTCCTACGATGTTAGATATTCCAGCTATTCTATTGTTCTTGGGTCAACCACATTTACTTCTATTAGCGCCTCAGTCGTGTCGCACGCTCTTCTTGTTTCTGTGCTCTACTGGCAGTGTATTTTGGGTGGACACTTCTATCGAATTTATAAGCGTATACACTGCGTGGTTGCACATGTACTCGGATCGGTATGTCAGGAAGCTCTCCGGCGGCCGCATTTTTCGGGGGTGCGTATATTTATGTCACTCAGGCCCGTAGCCGGAAATTGTTTTCAGGGGGTGGAGTGGGGGCATCACTCGAAGGCATTGAAGAACGCCTATTGTTTATTAATGTCCTCGGCAAAACACAAGTTTACATACACATTCCGAAGGGGTGGACCTATGCCTTCTACCCTCCTCTGGCTACGGACCTGCTGTCACTGCTGCATATTTAACTGTACTCAATGGTTCAGCGTGACCGCAATGAAAAAAAAAAAAGCATGCAACCCAGGACAGTGGCAGAGATGGACGAGGCGCTCTCCGTCTCTGTCACTGTCCCGTGTTACTTGCTGTTTTTGCACTTCGTTGATCATGTATACCAACCTGCGCAAATAAGCACTTTATACTCACCGTAGGCTGCTATTCTCCAAGGTGTTTTAGATTGCATCACGAAAAAAAAAACAGAAATAAAAACTTGTTTCATATATCACTTGTAACCTCGCCCGCGCATTTTTCTTTGTCATCTCTCTCTCTCTCTCTCTCTCTCTGTGTCCCTCATTATCTTGATTTGCCAATGCACCTGCATTAGATGCATTGTGCGTCGCACTTTCCGAAGAGGCAATCGAGTACGGTAAACAGTTCAGAGCAGAAGCATTGGTGAACAAACAAAGACGCTGCAGACGACTCACTGACTAGGCGGTGTATATAGTAGGGTGTTGGAGGGCAGGCGACCCAACCTATAAGGGACCACAGAGGGAGAGATGCTAATCACGTCGACTTTATCATCAACCGCTCCGTGAATGGCTCTTTCGAGTGCGGCTCCTTTTGCGGGTGGCTATAGTCTCCCAACAGGGCACTCGCCTCGCGGTCGGGGCGGGAAGGTGGATCAGAAATAAACGAACTGCGCCAGGTCGCATCGTTCTTATCATCGCTTCGCATCTTATACACCACGTCGTGGCAGCGTTGAAGCCTCGCTACAGGATAAGTCTTGCCGGGAGCTTTGACTCGGAAAGTGGGAGTGAAGGGGGAGGCGACGTGGCGAGAGAATGAGGTCCACCAAAAGCAGAGATGGCAATCAGCGACAATCTCTTTCTCGCCTCCGTCCCTCGGTCGCTGGCTTATATATGCACCAACCCTCGTTCGCTTTTCATTCTTTTTCTTCGTATTACGCGGGCGATAAAAAAAATCTGCCGCAGAAATCGGCGTGCCGATTGTTCACCGACAATGATTTCGGCGGCGCGCGAGGCACAGCGCGAAGAATGGACGGTCCCTTCTTCTTACCAATTTATTTAAACCTACCTCCTTACTGTGTGGTTGTGTGTGTGTGTGTTGGCTGAGGTGGAAACTCAAAGGGACGACCGCGTTGCTGGGGAGGTCACTTGCTCCGAGATCCGCCTTCTTGATAAGAATGTCCCCTCTCTTTTCCGCGCGGTGCCTCAATGCATGGCGCGTCTACACGCCCCAATCCACTCGATTAGCTGCGGCGGCACCTGCTGGGGACGCGCGCTCTTTAAACGCCTCGTGCTGCAGAGCCGTCCGTCAATGTGACGCCTCGGCGATGGGTGTCGCTGTCGGCGCCCTGTTCTCTTTCATGCCGTTTACAACTTGCCCCAAGTTGCGTAGCCAGGAGCAGGTTACGCAACTTACGAGCAATGTAAGTGGCGATGAAGGAACCTTCGCCTGCTGAAGACAAATAACTCGCCTCCCAATATATATTGTAGTAATACAGGCTGCTCTGACGTGGTACAGTTGCCCAATTAGTGGCCAGCAAGTTCCTTCGAAAAAAAAAACTCTTTCGTCAGCGTTAAAAAGTGTTTCTTGTCTTTACCCCTGCTTCTACGTGCACGTTCACCCGCACTTGAAACTTCACACAGTTGTTTCGGTGGCTGCTGTGAGAAATAATAAACGCCCGAATGGCATACGCTTCATCTGCTCATCGGTACACAGTCATCAGCACCAATCTGGCCTTAGTTTTGGGGCTCAGACTCGTCGAATAAAAGAAATGTCCTGAGACCCAAACGTTGCCTTACAATATTTTAATCGACGCCGTGGCAACCATACGGGGTGCATTTGGGCTTCTTGCATAAGTCGTGTGCATTATTGGCGCCTTCTAAATATCGCTGACAAAAAAAAAAAGAAACGGGGATTTTCGAGTGCGGCTTGACTGGCGAGTGACGGATAGTTTAGTTTCAACCATGTTCCTTCAGTGGAGTGATATTATATAAATGTTGGCTACATCTGAGTAAGATATAATCACAAGAATGCTTAAATATCTTGGCTGTACATTTTAAATAAGTTTCGTGAACCATTCCGTTCTCCAGGTGCGTTTTGTACATCACTGAACGCGTCATTATCTTACAGCTGCAGCAAAGCGGGAAAAAGAGAGAAAAAGAAAATATCTTAGCTAATGGTCAACTTATTTTGAATTTAGTTCAACATCCAGTGATATTTTGTTGCAGCTGGAAGTCCACAAGACTTTGCAGATTTCAGTGAACGGGTTATTAAGTTTTGTTTCTTTTCCTTTCGTGCAGGGCATTGGTGGCAACGGGTGTCCGAGAACTACGTCATCGGGTTACGTGACAACGTCTAGTAGCAGTCCTAGTGGTTTGATCTCATCATGGAGGCCGAATTAAAGCCGTCTGTGGTGGATTTCGATTTCAAGCAGGTGAGTCTCCGGCACTTCGCTGTCTTCAGCATACCGTCTCACGTTCCGAACGTATACTATACACTCATCCGAAGGACGTCACCTGCATAGTTCGTCCGTTGAATTGTCCCCCTTTCGCGCTCATATTTGACGGCGTTCACTCAAAGAAAAGATCGAGTAAAAAATGGCAGCATATCCACAGAGTGAATGATGGAGAGTGGGGCGAAGCATCCGTCCGTTCATTCGTTCTTGCTTCCGCCCGTCCATGCGTCCGTCTGTGTGACCGCCCGTGCGTTCGTCTGTTCGTGCGTCCGCACGTTCATCTGTGCGTCCGTCCCTGCGTTCGTCCATGCATCCGCCTCTGCGTTCGTCCATGCGTCCATCCGTTCGTGCAGCCACCCGTGCGTCCATCCATGCATCTGTCTGTACCACCGCTTCTGTACCACCACGCATCTGTCTGTACCAGCACTCCAAGTACCACCATCTCGCATCTTTTCATCATATATTCCACATACAGAAGCACCACCATCCAGCGGACATTCCAAGGACTAAACGAGAGGTGACACACGCACACTTTCTTACGGTTTGCGCTTCGGGTCCACTTCCCACCTTTAACCACCTCGAGTTCATGGTATATACTAGTTCACTGTATTCATGGCACTGCGGACCAACGCTCGCTAAACCTTCCTAAAACCAAGGAGGTTACGCCTAGCGAGTATAACGTAGCAACCCTTTCTTGTCAGATAGTGCTCAATGTGCATGCCAATGGCTGCTAATGGGGAATGAGAGACAGGAGAATTCGGCTTTTAGTTAACGTGCACGCTGCAAATTTTTTTATTGTTCAACAATGCACAGGAGAAATCTCCCACCGGCACCACCTTGCAGGTCAAAACCTAAGACTGGTTACACACTACGACTACGACTACTACGAGGTACGAACAGGTGCGGCTTTAAAGAGCTTCGCCCCTAAAAGGGCGTCTTTCGGTGCCACAACAACAATTGTCATCGATCCTGCGTTCCTTTCCTGATTGATTGATATGTGGGGTTTAACGTCCCAAAACCATCATATGATTATGAGAGACGCCGTAGTGGAGGGCTCCGGGAATTTCTGCGTTCCTTTCCTTGCACTATCGCCGTGCGGCCGGCACTTTCAAGTCACGAACGACATGCAAGTTATAAGCGGTGTTCACACGACGGACGTGATCTGGGACGGATCAGTCACGTGACATGCGACGTAATTTGGATCCCTCCGCGGCCAGCATTCACCCGACTGGGGATAAATGACACGGAAAGCGAGGATTTGGACATTGCTTCCTGATGATCTTAACAGAGATTTGGGCTTCCATCGTTTCACGAATCGGTATACACGCCACGTACCGAAGCGGGAACGGCTGACGTATGGTGACGTATACGCTATCCGCAGGCTCGAATCGCGATTTGGTCCGTCGTGTGAATGCAGCTTTATCAGCGCGACATAGCATTGTTGACAGCAAAGTGCCAGTGCGTAGTTTACAAAAAAAGGAAGCGCGAAGCAAGGCGGATGATGAATATTGTTGTGGGGCAAAACGACACCCTTATTCACTCGATGTTACACTAAAAAAATAGGGACATCTGCGTGAATCATAGAATGGCAGTGTGAGTCTCCATCGCGCGCTAGCTGCTAGCTATAAATAGCGGGGCAGGCGTCCTGTCGAAAATTAGTGGAAGTATAATCCAAGCGTGTTTATGAAAACACTGGCATGTTGCTGAAAACAAGAATACTTTGGCCGATTAAGGGCAACGGCTGCATACAGTCAATTGCTTTGGATGTACAGTTATTGAATATTAATAGTAATTGTTGTGGTTTTACGCCCCAAAACCAGGATATGGTTGACTCTTATGGGAGACGTTGTAGTGGAAGACTTTGACGATTTTGTCCGATTGGGATCGTTTAATGTGCACCTAAATTCAAGCACATCTAGCATTTAGCTTTCACTTAAATGCGGCAGCTGTGGCTGCGGGATTAGATCTTTCAACATTCAGGCACCATAAATACACCGCCGTGGGTGAAGAAGCGTCAGACACTCTTTTATTAATTACAAATTAAAATAAAAGTCTCTGGGAGGTACTATAGATGCGAACTGTGTTGGCGGGGCTCTTCTGGCTTATGGACATCCTGGATCCTAAGCTCCGTCGTTGTCAAACATTGAAACAGTTCAGCATATTGCTTCCTTGTTTGTCCATTCTACTCTTGCATTACGAGATTATCTTGGCTGCGCAGCAGTAACAGTCGTTTTTTTTTAAAAGACGATAGTCTTTCTTGGGGACCTTCGACGAAAAAATTTCGCTCTGTCTGTCTGTACAGTTGTCTGTTTGTCCGCCCTAACGATACCTCAAGCGGCATCAAACGGCCAATCCCATTCGCAGCGCCCACCAATATTGCTCAAAGTTTGGTGTTCATAGCTGTGCGAATGTCAATTAGAAAAGCAATTATTGCGCATATCTGAGGCTCCATAATAACACTTCGAAGTTTTGTATGTCTGCCTTTATACTAGAAGAGGCACGCACAAGTAACTCTAAGGAATGTAGCGTGTATCGTGCTGCGCTGACAGTGCAACGCGATGCTCATAAGGTGTTTCCAACGCTTTGCTACGACGTTACGACGTTACGGTGGTGGCACCTGCCCGTCGCTTTGCGCTCTACGCCTTATCACCTCCGAGACTGGCGCGCATCTTTCTCCGCGGGCTGCACGCCTTCGTTTTCGAAGATAACTGCTAGATGGCGCTTGTGTCTAACGTGGCTCGATGCGCTCGTTCGCCTCCGCTACACGCTCGAGGCACTCTAACGCAGCGCCTCCAGAATACCATTCACCGATTTTCTTGCGCAGAACTTCAAATAAACGTTTTTTTCACTCTCTCCATACGCAAGACTATCGTCTTTCGGCTACATTTGCGGTGTAACATGAAGATTTGGAACCATTTTTTTTGTTGTTGTTCTGCAACATTGATGACTGATATGGCGGGTTATAACGTCTCAAATACACCATATATGATTACGAGAGATGCCGTAGTGGAGGGCTCCGGAAATTTCGACCGCTTGGGGTTCTCTAGCGTGCACCCAAATTTGAGCACACGGGCCATACAGCATTTTCGCCTCCATCGAATCTGCAACACGCGCACGCACGCGTTCCCTGCCTTTTTCGAACATACACCGATCGGCACTCGCTAAAGATCGTACCATTCTCGTGCCACAGGTTTTGACGTGTTGTTCATAAAGGCGAAGGTCGCGTACCCGCTGGTCCTTCCTTCGTCCGCTTCGTACGCGGCAGAAAGGGCGCAGCACTTGACCTCGTCGACACGGCTGCCCTCCGCCAAGGTCTTGCCGTGATGCACGCAAATGAATCGCATGAACGGACGACTAGCGCGCGCGGTCCCCACAATGCCGCTACTGCCGCGTCTGAACAGCCCTGCGAGGCACAATGGAAGCGTCTCGCGCTCCCAGCTTCGCTTGAGAACGTTCGCACCACGCGCGCCTCAAAATGCGCCGTGTTCGTCGCGTATTCGTACAATGGGAAGACAGACGGGGTATATCTCGCCGACGCCTTTCGCGAAGTTTTCAGCTGTGCTCGCACACCATGCAGAGTGTGAGAACAGTTCGCGTGTGGCAGGCCTCTCTCACTCGGCGTCTGCTGGTGCGTGCGTGGATGCAGTGGAAGAAAAATCTGTGACGTCAGCGCCATCGATCGGGGTAGTTCAATCGCGCAAGACGATGCGGCCCGGTAGAAAATGTGCCGTATTTCGCCACGCCCACACGTCATCGATGCGGATAGCCAAGCGAACAGTATAGTTGCGTTCGTATGGCGTGCCTCTCCACACCTTCAAACCGAGGCGGATATACGCAATATCAGACGCCGCCTTGACAGCGCGAAACCTCGCTTGCTTCGAGACAATAGACAATCCTCGTCGCTCAGTGCTGACAGGCACCACATTCGACTCGAAATCGGATCACACCCTTCTCACATTTCACTGGACACACACACACACAAACGACCTTACCTGTTGAGCTGTGCTGGTGGTGCTGATCCGCCGCTCAGACATGCAATAACTGACCGTAGCTTCATGGTCGGAGGATATATCCTCAAGCTGAACCTCGGGGCGCATTCGTTGGAAGGGAAGTCGTAGTAATCCGGCGTCTGTATTAAGCCGTGTTACAGACATGTAATCCTACACAGATCAATACGTGTAATAAATGAAAACCCCTGTCGTAAGCCACAACGAGAAGGCATTGCAGTATTGCTTTCACCATGATTGGGATACAATCGTATACAGCACTTTCGTAGCTCGCGTCTTTATCTCTACAGCTTCAAAGACTGAGGTGCGCGAAAAATCGAAGCACAGCGTTTGGTGATACGACAGTTGAATCTAAATTGAGAGATGTATGGTTGCGTGTGAAATCGAAGAAGCGTATCTTATCAAGAAAGCAGGTGATGCATGTGTCATGAAAAACCTCCAGTCACGTTACTTGCCGCTGAGGTAGTTTTCCTGGAAGTGCGTCATTAATACAAGTCTTTGTCTGCTCATCTAAACATTCCCATCTAACTCTTATATTTGTTCTCATTTAACCAGCTTATATATGTCTGTAGTTGCAATAAATTCTCAGTTGTTAGTGTGCGCTGCCTCCCTATCGCGCTTCAGTTTTTCGCGCACCCTCAGTTAGTATGAATTAGCAACTCGCCCAACAGTCCGTGCTTCTCAGGGACACTGTTTTCCAACCACGTGATAGGTTTACATACCAAAGATTAGCAAAATACGCGGAAAATTCAGCAACTGTTAGCCGCACACTATATCACCTACGCCATTTCCGATGGAGGCGGAAATGTTGGAGGCCCGTGTGCTCAGATTTGGGTGCACGTTAAAGAACCCCAGGTGGTCGAAATTTCCAGAGCCCTGCACTACGGCGTCTCTCATAATCAAATGGTGGTTTTGGGACGTTAAACCCCACAAAACAAATCAATGTATCATCAACGCGAAAATGACCAAGTA